TGCATTTTAAAAATCATTTGTAATTTAGTCAATTGTATTTCCTCTTCAAAGGTCCTATAATTATAATCGAGGCTGTAATATTGCTGTCTTTCCTATTGAACGAAGCTAAACAAATGTATACGAATTTTGTTGTTCAAAGAGGGCCTGGAGAACTGAATGTCAGTCTGTTTTACATATCAAATCTCATATTAGACAGCATATCAACAAAACTACAGCTCCAAAAAAATTTCGACAGAAAATAATTCGTACCGTACCAAAATACTAAAAAAACGAATACACGCAATATTTCATGTAAATATTCGCTGAGATGATATGCTGGAATAGTTGTGAGTAGATAGGAAGACAATCGAACTGGTAAATGATTATAAATAACTCTTAACTTTAAGAACATTAAAATGGAAATAAGCATGGTTAAAAATGGGTAGCCGTAGAGAGCTCAATGTTTTGGACAACATGGATAATCGATGGAATTATCTATATTCAGCCAAGAACAAAATTCCTTGGCCCGTGACGATGGGCCGCTTGGTGAAGCCACGCAGTTATATATTTTATACCAACAGAAGAAGCCCTCCCAGCAAGAGGATGCAAGAGACCTCACAAGCTCTTCAATTTCACAGTCAATTTCAAACCTGGATGATAGTAATTCAGACGAAGCATATTCAGATACGGGTTTATGGAAGCCTCGAGGTCGTATCATTTATCTTAAAAAACCAAATTCCCTCTCCTATGACGTTGGGCCGCTTTGGTGATGGCCACGCAGCTAGAATGCCTTTCCCCTGGAACGACGATTGGCATATGCACTCTGACATATATCCTGGACTACCCCGGCGTACACCTCGTAGGGTAGACCAGAGCATATTGGAAAATTTGCTTTACACTGTCCTATCCTTACAGAATTTATTATCAGTTCCGACCAAATTCCAAACAGACGCGCTCATCTCTCATTTTTGCTTCGGTACTTATCAATACTACTATATCAAATATTTTTTATATATACAAATAAAATCTTTTCTATTCTATATATATTATTTTTATTAATTTATTTTATTAAAGAAAGTTCGTTGTTAGTTGACACTACTTACGTACAACTCAGAACGGCTAAACCTAAACATAATTTAGAATTGTTTATTTTTATTTTAAAAAATGCAGGTCTAATTGTTTTCATTCGACGTATACTTGACTGTTGCCCGCAACGGAATTCATAGATTAGATCCACGAAGCTGGCCTTTATATTTTGTGTTTACCTGGTTCAGGTACAAATTCATAAAACAATTCAGAACAACTATGAACGTTATAGTAAATGTTCCGACCATAAATTACCCTGCAGTAGTTTTTTTGTTTTTTGATTAACTTTTTTTTATTCACATGTATGTACATATTTATATACATTAGAAAAAACTCGAGCCTAGTGTACAACAATTGTAACAATGTTCAGTTTTATTTGTGTTCAAATAAGCCTATGAACATATGTTAATGTGTAATTCCAATCATAATTGTATACAGCTGTAAATGTAAATATGGTTGAGTATTTGTAGAAATTATGGGGTAGTGCAACGAATTGTTATCAGTTGGATTTTATAAATTGATTTTAATTTTATATTCCCACTCAAGCTAATGGGTCCAATCTAAAAAGCTTATCACTAAGTGGTGGATTGAACAGCTTCGGTGTCCGAAGCTCAATGCTCATTCCGCATTTCATTTTATTCTAGTTAATACGATCGATTAGACGCTACAGCAAAGCCTTCCGTTTGTCGAAATGAATTATTTCAACGGCATAATAGTTTTTGTTCGTTTTGGCTACTCTTAACATTGTGGTCTCCGAGCATGTCTGTGGATTTGAGGTAAAAATGTTGATATATACATGTATATAGATTTGAGCTGCATTATCACTTTAAAAATAACTTTCTAATGTTGCAATTATCAATTTTAGTCCTGCCCTAAGACCAATCAAATATGATTAATGTGCATTTAGTTCCCCACTCACACGATGATGTCGGTTGGCTAAAAACAGTTGATCAATATTACTATGGAAGCAATAACAATATTCAGCATGCAGGCGTCCAATATATATTAGACACAGTAGTGGAAGAGCTATTAAAGGACTCAAGGCGTCGTTTCATACAAGTAGAAACATCATTTTTTTTTAAATGGTACTCTGAACAAACGGTGACTATGAAGATAGCTGTGAAGCAATTAGTCGCTGAAGGACGCCTGGAATTTGCTGGAGGAGCGTGGAGCATGAATGATGAAGCTACAGTTCACTACCAAAGTGTCATAGACCAATTTAATTTAGGCTTAAAGTAAGTAAAGACAGTAATTTGTTTTAGTTTTTTTCGTGCATCATGTAAACTAAACCAACAGAGAGTTCAATGAACCAAACCGTCTCTTATATTTTCAGATTTTTGAAAGATACTTTCGGGACTTGCGCTCGTCCTCGAATTGGTTGGCAGATAGATCCCTTCGGGCATTCCCGAGAAATGGCTTCTATATTTGCACAAATGGGTTACAACGGTGAGTTTTTTGCTCGCATGGATTATGTTGAAAAGAACACACGTCTGAAATCCCTGGCCATGGAAATGATTTGGAGATCTAGCGAATATTTTAAAGACTCCGAAATTTTCACTGGTTTGCTTTATCAGCACTATGGATCTCCTCCCGGGTTCTGCTTTGACATCCATTGTCAGGATGATCCCATAATTGACGGAAAGAGCTACGACAATAACGTGGACAAACGAGTCGATGATTTTATTGCCTACGTAACGTCAATGTCAAAGTCGTTCAGAGCTAATCATATAATGGTTCCAATGGGTGATGATTTCCAATATGAAGACGCCGAGGTGAACTTTAAAAATATGGACAAACTAATTAAGTAAGTACTTACAGGTAAATCTAAAATATAAATTTTTCTTTTATTAAAGAATTTCTTTAATTACATTACATTTACATTAGGTATGTTAATAACCGTCAACTGGAGGGTTCAAAAATCAATCTATTTTACTCAACTCCATCTTGCTACCTCTACGAATTGCATCAGTTACTGCAAAGTTGGCCAAACAAAACCGAGGATTTCTTTCCATATTCTAGCGACAATCATTCTTATTGGACTGGATATTTTACTTCACGTCCAACCCAAAAACGTTTCGAGCGGGATGGAAATCATTTCCTTCAGACGGTTAAACAACTTAGCACACTAGCTAATCTGACCAGCGTTAAGCACACAAAATCCCTAAGCATCTTGCGGCAGGCAATGGGTGTTATGCAGCATCATGATGCTATAACGGGCACTGAAAAACAGGCAGTTGCCCAAGACTACGATCAAATGTTATACAACGCAATTATTGGAGCCGAAAATAATGCTCGCGATGCTCTGCGTGTGTTAACCAATCATACTAGGGCGGAGTTCCAAACTTGCTTAGAATTAAACATAAGTGTTTGCGCGCTTACACAGACAAGTGCTAACAACATAGTGGTAACATTAGTTAACCCGCTGGCTCACACTTCTTCCCAATATGTGCGTGTGCCTGTAACGGAAGAAAAACTATCAAGTTACCCGATGAAAACGGTACAAGTGATGATTATGATATTGATTGATATTATATAAACAAACTGTTTTTATTTAGGTGCGTGAAATATCATCGGAGATTGTACCAGTGCCATTGGAAATTTTAGGTCTTCAACACCGTTCGAATGACACTCAGCATGAATTAGTCTTAAAGCCAGTGTGAAAAAAATTTCCAACTTCTATATTCGCGTACTTCCCTTACCGAGAAAGAAAAATTACTTAATTAACGATCAAACAATACCCATAGCTGAGAACGACGCAGATGAATTCACGTTAGAGAACTCAGTAAGTGAGATACAAAAGAGTAATTACCACTAATTCAATTCAATGAAATAATTTTCAGCTTATAAGGCTTGTGTTCACCAAAAGTACAGGCCACCTTAAAGCTGTAGAAATGAATGGTGTATCCGAAAATATTCATCAAAGCTTTGGCATTTATAAAGGCTTCCAGGGCAATAACGGCATTTCAAAAAATCGATCCTCAGGTGCATATGTTTTTCGTCCAGACGGAGAAATTCAAGTTCTTAAGCGATAAAATAGAATATTCAATTTACAATGGTAAGAATGTTAGGGAAGTTCATCAACATGTGAACGAGTGGATTTCCCAAGTAGTACGTATTTATGATGGAGTAAACCGTGTGGAGTTTGAATGGCTAATTGGGCCGCTTTACAAGCAACGTATACTCGAATGGCACTTTTTACACTGATTCCAATGGTCGAGAAATGCTTGAACGTAAAAGGAACCAACGAGAATTCTTCGAACCAGATATGACAGAAGAAATAAGTGGGAAATTACTATCCAGTTACCGCACAAATGTACATACAAGATGATCATAAGCGTATAACTCTACTCAATGATCGTTCACAAGGGCGGAAACTAGCTTGGAAGACGGTGAAATTGGAGTTGATGCTACAATCGTCGTTTATTAAATGACGATGCATTTGGGGTCGGCGAAGCTCTTAATGAAGAACAGTTTGGCAAAGGTTTGATAGCAAGAGGAAAAGTTTTCTTATTCTGAATGCTGTCCCAGAGAATCCAAATTGTTTTGAGCGTTTAACCCACCATGAATTACATTTGCCATTTTGTAAGTTTTTCAGTAAAACAAATACCGTTCCTTCGATAGTTTCAGCACATGATGCCAAATTTTAACGATTTTCCGGAATCAATGGAGGCTTCTTTCCTTGAGCCTTATTCAACCAACAAATTCTTTTACGATTGGAGAACTTTAATTCCTGTGGAGGCATAAAAGCTACAACATTCATCCTCTTTCGAAATCTTTGCGCGGACGACAGATTTGGGAAGTAACTTTAGATGGAAATATGCCTCTAAGACAAATGAAGAGATTCAAGTTTCATCATGATGGTACCGGCATTATTCCTTCTTCAGTCAGTTACTTCTTTTACTCCACATAAGCCACTGGAGGCTAATTATACGATGGATGCTTCTAAGTTTAGTGTTACGCTGTTACCAATGCAAATTCGTACCTTTATAGGTCCATCAGTAATAAATTATTTACCACATAATTATATTTTCTAAAACTGGAATAGGTTGTCCGGTACTGTTGCTAAATTAAAATAAAACTAACTAATTGCATACAATATCTTGTTTTAGGAATTATCTTTGCCCACGTTTTCTACATCTGGATAAGTTGTCTTTTGAGTGCCTCATGGCTCCAGAGATGACCTATGTAGCTCTGTCTTTCTCTCTCCTAAACACCACAAGAACAACAAAAGTCCCTTTATGCGGACAATTTTGGGGCTCTGCTCAATTGCATGTTTTTTGTGCTGTGAACTCATCAAAATAATCAAAATAAATAACCGCTTTAAGTTGTCCTTGTGAGCACAAGAAACCAAGCGAAGAGAAGAACACTGTTCGGTTTCTGAGAGGCTAACTGTGTTTCGTTCTTTCAATTTTTTTCAGTGAGAAGATCGTATTGAAACGAATGAGAAACGTTTTTAAAGTCGCAGCTACTAACGCTATTCTACATTTATATCCGATACTCAGTCAGTATGGCCCCCCTACGCGAGAGTGCGCACCCTGATTAACAAAGAGTGCGTGAGATAGAGAGAGAATTAGTTAGCGCGTTGCTATGCTATCGAAGCCACTGCAGTTTCATTTCTCTAGCTCTTATAGTCTCTGAGAGTACAGCAAATCCTCTACCTTTTTTTCTGATCTGTAAGAATCAAATGCTCACCTCCTCGTTGGGTAATGGGCTACCAGCAGGCTGAACCCTCTAGTCCTTTTTGGAGAAACCAAAGTGCTCGGTCCCCTTAGACTGCATTTTCAAGAACACCTTTGCTCTCGGTATAGACAGGATCAGCTATATATCAGCACCTTGGGACCGGGATGCGATGTTTTTCAAACGTGTGCCGCGGCAAAGTGGTGTACCATTTGGTGTGCCGCGGAAAAAAATGGAAACCTCACCTAAAAATAGCTGAGATCTGTCCAGATCACCTACCTACGTCCGAGCCTGCATCGACTAAGGAGCCCATACATCTCAAATTGCAAAGAGTCAGCAGGCACGCTTCTTTCCGACATTTGGGCTAATATCCAAAAGTTTGGTTAATTTTGTTTTTTATGCCCATCCGGTATGCACCTTTAGGTTTCACTTTGACCAGCTCCTCCGAAGATCCTGCATTACCTCGGACACAGCAAGCAATCAAGCAATGCAGTGTTCATTGCCCAGCCGGCACCCTCGTAGAGAGTAAGTGTACGTAACATTACCTTGTACCAGGGTTAGTACTAAGGTTGGGTGTATAGCTTGGGTGACGTCTTGGCCAAGAAACCAACTCACTTCTACATGTCTGGGTGTCATGCGATCTCTGGACATTGGGATGATTTTCAGTCAAATGTACTCGACTCGGCGAGTACTCGAGAGATGTCACGGGAAAACTTTTTATCTCCGCACACCTGCAAGATTTCCAAAGTTTAAGGTAAAAAATATGCGGGATATAAAAGAAAAGACCCTAGGAGAGCCTAGACTTATACCCTAGAAAAGAAACCCAGGAGAGACATAATCGCTGTAGGTCCCCAAACAGTCCCACCAAAAAGATGGCTCAGGTCAGGATTTGATCGTCTTTGGGTGGCATAGGCTGCTAAGATGGGCGTTGCCGATACGACCCGGGATCTGCGACATCTCGATGTTTCGCGTAGCCTGCTGCATCTGCCGCACACCGAGCAAGATCGGCTGTTGGGCGCAGATTGTTAGCCTGATCAGTCTGGATTTTAAATTATAAGGGAATTAGATACAAAAGCGTGGGCCATACCAGCTGGCATCTGGAAAGAAAGAAATTTGGTCTCTCTAAATAATCTCCATCCGTCTGTCTGTCCCCTGGTCAGAAACGACACACGCACATTCTGTCTCTCTCTCATTGTTCCTTAAGCAGTGGCATCCTGTAGAAAAGCTAGCGATATTTAACGGTTGGATGGTATTCGTATTTCGCAAGTGGAAAGAAAGAGAGTGAAATATTTAACGGAAGGTCAGGAATGGAAACAGCTAGAATGTTGGTTATTAGATGGAATCGAAATAGACGAAGTGCACGAAATTACGGTTTGAACATAAATAGCGCTTGTGCCTCTCTATGTTGCGTTTTCGCCCAAACATTCTGTTTCATTTTCACCTGTTCTGTTAAACGCCAAATTTAGTTCTATTAAGCCCAGAATTAAGAGTATTATGTGCACAAAAGCCTCTGTTATGTGTAACAGAGATTTAATTCCGAAGTATCGATAACAAAATACGTCTGCGAAAGCCGTAAGCTCGAAAACGTAAAGTGTTGTTGACATAATTGGTCAGGTCAACAGCACTATGCAACACCATATTTACGCTTCGAGTCAGACCGACAATTTATGATAGATTTGGAGCTTTACAAATATAGAATAATTCAGTGATTCGGGCAAATTGAAATCTTACTGAAAGAAGCGGGAATATAAAAAAACACATTTTTTAAAATTGCTTTAAAGTTGTTACTACAGTTGGTCAAAATATAGTAATTATTTTTGTTTGTTTTACTTTCTTGTTTCTTCTTTCGAATTTTTTTTTTATTTTAGTTTTCTCTTAATATTAACTTGCTTGTGTAGAGTCTTTTTGTTTATATTTGGACTGTTTCGACGCTCGACTACCAGTAGCTAGTGACAACTTGTAGGTTGTGGCTACATCAGTGCATTCGCTGACCGCCGAAGTGCTACAAACCATGTATTGAGTTAATGTACACATACATACGGATGAATGTACATGTACATATCAACGCCAAAGAGAGCAATCAAGTACATTTAGTTCTCGAGCTGAGTTGTGTTCTCCGCTTGATCATTCTGATGTGGTTGGTTATTGGTGTAGGAAACATTCAGTAAGTTCGCTTTGTCGATTCCTTATCAAAGTACATAAATTTAGCGGTCATGTTTGTGTGTAAAATTATTCGTAAGTCTGTATGTACATTGTGTTCCTTTTGTCCATATAGCATAGAAGGAGAAAGCTACCATGTCTCGCGAAACTATATCTTGGTCTGCAGCTTTATGCATATTTTTCTTACTTTCTACATGGCGTCGATATGCGAAATATCAATGCAGCCTACGACAAATTGAGAGAGTCACCGGCATCCCAGTGCGGTTATCTGGTGAGTAAATGCGCATTTAAA